AAGAAATACTAAAAAAATACACATATGTTTTTCAAACCTAAAGACAACATTATGTTTAAAAGCTGTAATGTTGTAAATAGCACCTGTGAGGCTCCACATGCAAGAGAGACAGCTCTCTCCATTGTGATGCACTCAGCTCACAGGGGCAGTGGCTTAGAAACAAACATTCCAGTGGGAGCTCATGTAAAAACCCTCAGAACATGTTGGTAGCACACTTGAGAACACGCAGCAGGACGAGCACACGATGGACTGCACTTGTACAGTTATGCAATGCAATGTACAGCACTTACATCCCAAACTAAGTTTAAGCTACCTGAGTAAGAAGGCAACCTTTAATACCTCTCTTCATTGCTTGTCCTAGATTTAGACAGAAGTGTCTCTTGGCTTCTCATGTGTGTAACTGTGGAGCTGCCCCTTCCTCCTGCACAATACCTCTGTGTAAATCCACTGAAAGCACCCTAAACACGAACCATTCTGAAGCTTCCAAACATTGAGGTTATGCTGTCACCTCCATCAACAGCCCAACAGAAATTAGTTTATTCACAGAAACAGCGTCTCATGGGAAGGCTAAAGGCACCCACTGCTCACCATCACAACGGGCCTTCACACCCTGCTCTGTATCACAGAATCATAGAATCACAGAATGGTCTGGGTTGAAAAGAACCACAATGATCATCTGGTCGCAAACCACCAGACCAGGCTGCTCAGAGCCACATCCAGCCTGGCTCTGAATGCCTCCAGGGATGGGACATCCACAACCTCCTTGGGCAACCTGTTCCAGTGTCACCAACCTCTGTGTGAAAAACTTCCTCCTAATATCTAACCTAAGCTTCCCCTGTCTCAGTTTAAAACCATTCCTCTCAGTACTCTCACCACAGACCAACACACTCGGGGAGATGCTGTGAGAAACAGCTGCCAGGCACAGCACTGCATGGCTCAGAAACTAAAAGCCAGCCCTTTCCCCGTTGTTTCCTTCCAGAAGCAGGCCGCTCCCAGCCCAGCCCCTTCACCTGGCACAAGACCACCGCGGCCCTCACCACCAGCCTGGTGCGAGCTCCACACCCAGCTGCACAGTCGAACTGGAACTTCTACCTGAGTCCGTCCACCTCGCACCTCCTCCTTCCTCGCCATCCGCAGGTCTCCAGAAGTAGGAGAACACCCTGGAGAGAAAGCCGAGCATCGCGCACAGCCTCACCACCCCAAACACAGCGCTCGTTCACACACCACTGCGGCCTCCCCGCCGCGCCGCCGGCCAATCACGGCGCTGGCTCGGAGTCACGTGACGGGCCATTCGGCCGCAGCTGCGGGCTGTGGCTTCCCGCCGCGGGCGCGTGGTAGGGGCGGGCTCGGTATGGTGGCTGTTTGTGCTCGTGATGTGCCTTCGGGTGCTAAGCGGATGCTAAGCGCGGCCCGCTGATGTGGAGAAGCAGAGTACAGGGGAGAGTGCATGCATGCAAGTGATTATATGATGACTCTATGATTCTGTGAATCACGTTGTTGAGTTACTGTAATAACAATAGAAGCGTGCTTCAAAGCACTAAAACTCTAGAATGTTATAAATTTGGTAAACAGCAGAACCAAAGAATTTGGTCTCCTTCTTTCTCACACACCCCCCTTTAGATGCTGAAAGGCAGATTTCAGGTCTCCCTGGAGCCTTCTCTTCTCCAGGCAGAACAGCCCCAGCTCCCAGCCTGTCCTCATAGAGGGGTGTTCCATCCCTCGGATCAGTTCTGTGTCCCTCCTCTAGCCATGCTCCAACACGTCCATGTCTGTCCTGTACTGAGGACTCCACATCTGGACACAGTACTCCAGGTGAGGCCTCACCAGCACAGAGCAGAAGGGGAGGTTCGCCTCCCTCACCCTGCTGATCACACTTACTGATGCAGCCCAGGATACCGCTGGCTTTCTGGGCTGCAGCGGACATTGCCGGTCTATTTGCCAGTTCTCTTGAAGTGTGCTTTAGGTATTTGGTGTAAGCTCCTTTAAATGTCATTTAGCAGAGGGCATTTTGCAAGTGAGTTTCTGATTTGGTGAGCTCAGTGTCCCAGTAGCATCACTGGGAGCAGCAGCACGAGGCCAGGGCGGGAGGGTCCAGGAGGTTTGGCAATGCAGCCTGTGCCTCTATGGCAAACTGCTGTACGGCTGTTTGTTATGGGAGGGTGGTGTGGTCTGTGAGCGGATTCCAGGGCTAGGGTAGCGGTTGTCTTCAGCAACCTTTTGTACTTGCACAGTTAGCTCAGCTCTGTTCAGGGAGGGAAGGGCTAGGAATGCATTGCAGACTGCGTGATGCTTTTTATAGAGTTCTGCACAGTTCCTCGACCAAAGAAATTCTGGCTGCCAGTAATTGCACATGGGTTCCCAACTCTTGTTCTGGTGTAACTGGGGGATGTGATGCATACTGGGAGGAGGGACCTCCCAGTGAGTATGAGTGCCTGTAGTCACTGATCTCTTTAGAAGGAGATAAATTCCTGTCTGAAGATCCTGCTCCTGACATTATTTATGAAAGCCTTCACAGGTTGTTTGTGCTGCTCAGCAATCTTACTGCAAGGTGGAAAAGGCAAGTATTTAATCTGGATGTCCTTTAAAATGTGTATGTGCTATGTTTGTTCATTACACCCATATATTTAGAAATATTTAATGTTTCAGTAGTATGAAGTGGATAGTATATATACTGGTCAGACTGGTTTGAACTCCTCAGATCATGATTAACGTGAAAGACAGTAAATGCAAATAAAAATGTGTTGTAATGGGGGAGCAGTTTTGAAGCAACTGGGCCTGTACTTTGTTCTGTACATGCCCCATTACATAAGCTGGGAAACCAAACACTTTGAGGAATTGGTTCCACAGAAGCAAAGTACTTCAAAGAGCCGATTTTTAGAGCTGAATATACCAAAGTAATACAGATACTAACATTGGCAAATGACCTAGCACCTGCTACAGCTGCTTTGGGAATTTGAACCCTTTCAGTTGTCATTAGTAGCTGTTAAGTTGTTCTTCATAGCCTTTTACAATTTGATTCGAGTCGTCTCTTGATATCACTTGACCTATCTTAGAATAAAAATACGTAGTTTGTAAACCTTTTTGAGAAGTCTGTAATGTCCTGCTGGAGCTGTTACACTTTCTGCAGTCTTTGTGCAGGTTTCCTGTGCAGCTTTTAAAATTAGTAGGAATCTCTTCATACAACACCTTTGTACAGCACTTAGGATTGTAGGGTCATTTGGCCTCTGACTACCAGATTGTGCCTGGTGCCTTTTGTGTATACACAAAAAGGAGCCAGGATTTTGTACAAAATCTGAAACACAGAATTAAGGGAACTAAAATAAAGGACCCAAAAAACTCTGGGTAGAAGCTGAAATCGGAAGTTTTTGTTGACGTAGATGAAAAACCTGGAGAGTATCATGCAGTGAACCTCTGTGCAAAAAGTAAAGCAACAAATACAAGGAAATGCTCAGGAAAGGGTGAAGAAGGAATCACAGTGTAACCAGAGGAAATGCTGTAGTGCCCTGCTTGAGAGAGATGGCCTTCAGGTTCCATTCTGGCTAGAATACTTGGAATTTTCAGTAAAGATTCCTAGTGTTGTTGGGTGTTGCTCTGTTCGGTGACATAAGAGTTTCTAAATTCATTTTTACTCAAAGAAATTAAATCAAGTAAATGTCTGAAGAGCTCCCCAGTTCTTTCTTTTTAACTTAAAAAATCTCCCTATATTGACTTAAATGGTCAAAAGGGAAAAAAAAAACATGATCCTATTTTAAATCTCTACTAATTTGTGTTAAACTCTTGCTCTTAGTACCTAGCAGTCTTTGAAAAGGATGTGAAGTCAGCGTTATCCATTTTCCATTAAAACATAGCCTTTGAAAGGGTGCAAAGAGTGGAAATACTTGCATAGCATGTTGTCTTCGAGCAGAAAGCCTTAATTACTCACGACAGTTTTGCTAGGCTACAGAGATTTTTCCCCTCTTCTCTAACACAGTACACAGTTGTGTACCATGTGTGATTAATTTCCATGTTTCAGACTATTAAAACTGTACCTTTTAATGTTTTTTTTAGTATTAGCTTTCACTTTGAGAAGAACACAAATCATGTCAGCCCAAAATGAAAAGTAGGGGTGCTCTGAAGTTTTTTTTAGCATGCTTTAAAAGGTGATGCTCTTGTCCAAAAGTGCTGAAAATCTAATTGTGTCTTCGTTACTTCATTGAAGTGTACACAAGAGCCCCTGTCATTGCTGTAGTTGTCAAGATGCCAACATATTCAAGATAAAAGCATTCTTTCTTTCTTTCTTTTTTTTTAATTGCCTAATAAGCAGGAGAACTGGATCCAGTGTTCGCTGGCCATTGCATGTCACTGCTGCCTACTAGATTTTAAATAAGTTGTGTAGTCATCATGATATAAGTGTGAATGTCAGTATGATGCCAATGTGCAGGTTTTATCTGTGCACTCTAGAAAGACAGTGTTAATAGAAAAAAGATAAAGAGTTCTACAGTGAAGATAAGGTTCTTGATAAGTTTTTAACTTATAACTTCCCAACTTTTTGTGATACTTGAATTTTTACTTGTAGGTTATTCTAGGAAAATGCTGTGTTTTAAGTAGCTCTTGCGCTTTTGAAACAAGGACTAGATTGTTGAATATCATAATCACAAGTTATGACAGTAACTAAAGCTGATAAACTACAAGTGAGATTTAATTTAGTATGCCAAGTAAAGAATAGTACAAAAAGAGATGTTTGAAACTTTTTAAATTTGCTGGTGTGATTTGGAAGCAGCTCTTAATGTGAGTAGTGCGGTCATTTTCTAGTGTATTCTGTTAATTAAAATTCAAGAAGCATTTTCCTGTTCCCTGGCTTAACTCAAGTTTTTGCTGTGCTTTTGTTCCGTATCTGAATAGATGTTGTTGAAAGCCAAAGTGTAAGGGAGAACTTTTCAAAGACGGCATGACTCACTGAGCGGTGAGAAGATCACAAAGTGTACGGGCATCTGTGTTCACAGGACTGCTTTAAACTGGCAGTTAACTTTTCAGTCAGAGGTAAGCGTGAAGTTTTTTAACTGTTGAAAAATGTGCAGTAACTTCAATGTAAGGTACTCAAGGTATTTTAACAGATTGCAGGCAGTGAGATGAACAGAATGGGGCAAACAAGCAACATGGTTGCTATTGGACAAGTTAGAAAGAAATTGCTGTAGCCGAATTACTGTGATTTTGTGAGCTTATTGGTGTCATGGTGAAGTCTGTCATTTCAGATGTCTGGTAAGTTTTAAAATCAAATGCAATTTAACATCTAGACATGTTTTAAAATGTTTGTCAATCCCTCAGATTTTTTTTTCAAAAAAAAAAAGAAAAGAAAAAAAAGAAAGGAATTATTTGGTTGTAGGGTTACCCTCAAATTACACGTCTCCAAAGATGTTTTTTAGGTCTTCCCATAAAAGTCTGTTGAGTTTGTGTGTAGATACACAAACTTTCATTTTGTTGGTATTTATACTGTATTATGATGTATTATTGTGAACCATGGCTATATAATGTAATTTAGTTACTGAGTGCAATTAGTTGGCAAGCATGCATACTTCAAAATATAAATATAGCTCTCTACTAATTTTTACTTGTTTATTCTTCTTAAATAGAAAAAAAAATAATTGGGCACTGATCTGAATATATGAAGAAACTAAGTTAGATTTTTGATCTTTCTTTGTCCTCTGCATTGCCATTATTATTTAGTTGCCTTTACAAAGTGTTATGACTAGGGAAGAAGGTTACAGAGAAGAGTTCAGCTATGACAGAATGCCAACTTTGGAGCGGGGAAAGCAAGAGAATGGAAATTATATACCGGATATCAAATCCAGTGACCTTCAGCTATCAAAGAGGCTGCACCCCTGCTTTATTTACAGAACGTGGATCTTTTCTTTGCTGATGGGTGTAAGTAAATGATAAAGAGTAAAAATTAAAAATTCTTGGGGAGGTTCTCTAATCTGTCCTGTTTCAGATCATTTAGGGAGTCATAATTACACCCTTGATAGGACTGAATATAAATACTTGTATGGAAAGAAACATACTTAGCAAACTTAAAATGTAACTTTTAATTGACTAATAATATTCTTTGGAGCGTTTTGCAGTAACTAAATATGCTTCATGAAGGCTGATTTTTGTATTTAACATTAAATGAAGTACGTGTGGTAGTTGTAAATATCAGCCTTTATTTATGAATTAGTAATGCCTCTTTGTGAAGTATGTAAATTATCCTAATCACGTGCCTACTTTAAAATTTTATTTAAACTATTGAGAGTACTTGCCTTCATGGCATTTTGACATTAAAAATGCATGCAGTATTTAGTTGTCGAATTTTACTTTATGTTTTCATAAAGCTATGGACTTTTTTGATAGAAATCTCATGTTATGACTTACGTTTCTTACATGAACATCATAGTGATATGAATTGTTGTAGCACTGGTAGAATCACTGCACGCTGATCTTGCACAAGCATCATGTTACTCCATGTTCTAGCCAAGTTAATTAAAGCTCATTATAGCAATTACAATTAAGTCTTAAGTCTTTTTTTTTCTTTTCTATGAGTTGGTATGTTTTGAAGACTAATTTTTGTAAGAGCTGAAATGTTTCACTGTTTATAGGGTAATAAATCATTTTTGCATAGTGAATAAAAGCAGTGCTTTACTTTCATGGAAACAACTGAACGCTCTTTTTGTTCTGACAGTCTGTGTAACGTGGCTTTCCTTTTGGATGTATGGTGACACAAAAAGAACAAAATAAGAACTGGCTTTCCTTGCATTAAATTTTCTCAGCGTATGTGTGCTAGGCAACAGAAGTTCCATGGTGAACAGAACTGTGTTCATGGGGTGGTTGCAAACTATAGAGTGACATCAGAGTAGCTAGCAATGGCTGTTCTTGTGCAGGAACACAGTGAGTTTTTTGATGAGGACTTTTTAAAGACATCAGAAATCTGCAGCTTGAAAAAAATGCCCAAATAATAAAGAACAGCTGTTCTGTCCCCCATCTTTCCCAACCTCTTTGAAGGAATGTCTACTCAGAGCAGAAAGAAAAATGGTTAGTAGAAGATACTAATCATTTGATGCTGAAAGTTTAGCTCTAATTGTGGGCTAATTCCTAATGAATGGAGTGATTAGGGAGGGAGCAGCAGAAATTGAGCGTTTATGGTTATGCCACTGAATCAAAGTGGGAAGGGAGTTTGGAGGGAGAAAGGAGTGCAGGTGGATGTACCTTAGTCAGTATATCCTTATACTATTTTTGTTATTATTTTCTTGTTGGTAGTTGCCCATGCGAACTGTGAATTTTGGTAAAGCCAAGCAGATTATGCAAAGTAGAGGCTTACTTATGTTTTCTGAAACTTTCTTTTTTTTTTTTTTTAATGTTGAACCCTCTGCAATTACCTTGTGATAATTTCCTTAGGTGTTTGCCAAGTCAAGGCACAGTACCTGATTCAGACATGCTTTTTTGGTATTAAGTCTTGGTAACCAGTGAAACGTATTCCTCAGAACTCAGCATGCTTAGATATTTTGCTTCAAAATTATTCACACAAAGACTACATTATTGTCCATCAGTAGCTCAGCTTGAAAGGAATTACTGATTTTTATCTTTACAGTAGTTTTATTGTACTAATCCATGTTATTTGTTGCTTTGCAGACTTGCCTCCTTATTACCTCTGGGTTTTCACTGTATCTGGGAAATATTTTTCCATCTGAAATGGATTATTTACGTTGCGCAGCAGGTTCAGTAAGCATTCTTAATTATTTGCTGTGGCTATTTGACAGCAAAAATAGTAAATGTTGTGTATTTATTTTCTTCTTTATTTCATCTTTTTATTATTAATTTACTTCATGGAAAAATTAATTTTCTTTAACACTTTAACTTGTTAAAGTAGGTACTTTTCAGGCCACGACTGAGGGAATAGCCATTTTCACAAATGGTGTTGTGCTGCCATTTTTGTTTATCAGCTTACCATGGACAGCCATTAATTATCTGCTTGAGTGGTTTTTCTATGCCTTACTTGAAGAAAAATTTGTACTGTTACGCACTTGTAGAATTTGTTGCCTAAATGCTGTTGGAATGTATTTCAGTGTATTACATTTTTCATTGTATTTTGCCATAATACCCAAGTACTGAGGCAGACTGAAGAAGTTCTCTGTATTATTACTGTTTTCTTAACAAAATGTGAATCAATCATGTCTGACATTTTCAAAATCCACTAATTTTTACTGCACATCTAGGCCCTCATATTTGTCTTATGTTATTGTATCAAGCACTGCAGTGGACTGCCCAGGGAGGTGGTGGAGTCACCGACCCTGGAGGTATTCAAGGAACGTTTGGATTTTGTGTTGGGGGACATGGTTTAGTGAGTACTATTGGTGGTAGGTGTATGGTTGGATTGAGTGATCTTGAAGGTCTTTTCCAATCTTGGTGATTCTGTGATTAATTTATTCTTTAGGTCTTAGCTTATATGATGAGTCTGATGTATTGTTTTGTTTGTGACAGGATTCTGTTCTGTCATTACTATTTTGTCAACTTGACTTGTGGATTTATTTTAAGTTAGGTGCAAGGCTAATACTTTACACAAGTACCAGGAGTTCTGTGGGTGAGCTGTGACTTATCTTTCTGTTAGAGAGATTAGAATAATGTTGAAGCAGCTTTTGAAGCCAGTGTCTTCACTGAACTATTACACTGTGCACCATTAATGTAGTTACTGAGATATATCTTTTTCTGCCTCAAATATGGTCTCTTTGAACTTTGTATTTACTGAGAATTTCTAAAGATACAGAAGGTTAAGTGACAAATCACTTTTATATTGGGTTTGAATGGCTTGCCGTTGTTGAAGACGAGTATGTTTGGGTCTGTATGTGGGCAACGTGTTTCAGCTCCTCCTGCAGATAATGGCAGTGTAGTTGGAAGAGTCTATAGAACTGTATAATCTACTGACTACTAAATGTCTGGCTTACGAAGAGCAGAATTGCTCTCTAGAATGTATTGACCATCTTGACTAGGAGTAGAATTCAGTTGTCTGAATGCAGTCACATTGTGTTCTAGAGACCCTAGGGCGTTCAGGATATAAATGTATCAATTCATGGTGTTAAAGATGGGTCACTTAGGTGCTAAGGCAGTGCTGCCAAGAATTTTGAATTTCCATATTAATCTAATTATAGGGGTTTCATTGTTAAGCTGTCAGTGCTCAGACTTGTTAGAAGATAATTAGTGAACAAATGCAACGGTTATTACATGATTCATCACTTAACCTGAAAATCTTATCCATAATTTTAGTTTAGTATATTCATATTTTACTTATGAATATATTGTACAATTGCATACATGTGAAAAACAGAGTTGGATCTGTAATAGTAATATATCTAATGTGGTGGGGTGCAACTGGGGCTTGAGAAATTGCTTTGTGAAACTTTTCCTTTTTGTGTGATTTTTCCATTTAGCTCTGCTCTTTTGTAGTGAAGTTTTCCTAGTGAAACTAACAGAGGTCCTAGGCATGATTCTTAAATTGTAATGTCTCAGCAGACTGGTTTTTATCAAGTTCTTCAGAAGAGTGTGGTTGAGATTTTAAACAACCATTATGTTGTATTTTCAAAAGAATATGGAGGCCCAGTGCAGGAGTAGCTGTGCTGTTCTTTTCCTTCTTAAAGATGTTCTAGAGTTAATTTAGCTAACAAAGGCATAGAATGACTCATGAGACTTCCATGCTTTCCTTTATGCATCACATTGTGCTGGGTAGCTAGTCAAAAGTGAGGATATGGAAACTTCTAGTAATCCTCCAGAACCAGTTGTAATTAATGAGCCCAGTGAAGGAGGATGGTCCTTCCTCAGAGTTTCTATTTTCAGTTTGTCTAATTATTAGCTGTAATATGTAATATTAAATCTGACTCAATTAAAAACACATGTAGAAAAATATATTTAATATTCTTTGTGCAGAATATCCCACTAGTTTTCTCTCTTAATTTTCCCAGTGTATTCCTTCAGCAGTTGTGAGCTTTGCTATAGCAAGGAATAAAATTAATGTGGTAAGTGAAAGATTTTTTTTGGCAATTATATCAATTATATCTTTTTTTTTTTCCTGTTGTTTGTAAGATGAGAGCGAAACCCATTCTGAAATTTGTTTTACAGATACCCAATTTTCAGATTCTGTTTGTCTCTACATTTGCTGTTACAACAACATGTTTAATTTGGTTTGGATGCAAACTTGTCCTGAATCCATCAGCTATAAATGTAAGTTAATGGAATAATTGCTGATTAAAGCAACATTTATCTTTGCTTTACCAAAAAAAAAAAAAAAAAAAAAAAAAGTAACCACATAGTTTTCAGTCTACAGAGATCATCTGCCAGTAACTTTACTTTCTGGGGTAAGACAAGACCTGAAAAATTGAAATCAGAAATAAAACCTCATGATACAGCTAACTTACTGGAGATGAGTATGAAAATGACTTTCTTGTATTTTAAGTTCAGGAGTATGAATGAAATGTTGAAGGGTGATCCACTTTTACCAACTGTCTTTTCATTTTTCTTTTGATCGAAGAAACTTCTTAAAAAACTATTGTTTAAATTATTTGATGTTTTTTTTTCTGAAAGAGCAGGATCAGAATAGCACTGAAAACAGTTTAGTACTTCAGTTATAGATAAGGCAATTTTCAGGGTCAAATTATATTGAAATGGAAGTGTCCCAAGCAGTGGTATTGTATGACATCTTCAGATTAAGTTTAACTCTTTCTTGGATCTTCTACATTGTACAGTTTTGCTTCTGAAGTCACCAAGTAAAGAAAGTTTTGATGAATGTTTCTCGCATATATTGTCAACAAAGAGAAGGCAGCTGTTAGTATTATTTAAAATGCACTTAGTTCATGCAGGGGAGAGTTCTCTGTTTTTGAATCACAGCCTTAACACTTGTCTTTGGTAGTCTAAGCCAAACAGTAACATTATAGGTTTTTTTGGTTATGGTAAAATGTTCTGAGTCCTCTATTCTATATAAGAATATGAAGTGTGAGAATAATTCTGTGAAGTAATATAGCAGTAGTAGGTACTATTGTTAGTGTTGATAAATGCTCAGACTATCACAGAACAGCTCAATACAACTATGTCAGACTTATTTTACATGAATGTTAACACCAGTCTGTCCCTGTAATTATGGTGCTTCTGGACCCAAACTTGAATATCTACTTGACACTGCACCGTAAATGTGGCCTTGTCAGCATATCTTGGTACCAGTGCTACATGTCAAAACATTGTAGTTTGCAGGCTGGATTCTATACCCAAAAGAGCCTTTAAAATCTGCCAGCTATGACCTTTTTCAAAATAAATATGTATATATATGTACTGAAAGGTAATGTTGGAGAAGAACTTAGATTTGATCATCCCAGAAATAGGTCTACCATGAAGAAGCACTTAGTTCACTGAGCTGTGTTTTACTCAGATTGTATAGATTTTTAATGGAGTTAGTTCTCCTTGAATTTTTGGTGCTTTACCCAATGGCCACATCTAGCCACCAAATTTTTTTGGGGGCTGCTACTGGAAAAACATTGTGCTTCCAAAGACTTACAGAGGGAGATCTACTCTGCCTAACTTGCACACCTCTAGAAGATTATTAAACCCACGTAGAGTTGGAATTGTCTCATGAAAAGAGGTAGATAATGAAGAAGAAAAGTATTCCATTTGGTGTATTCTTGTCTTGAAGATGAACAATGGCAGAAGGGATGGCAGCATATATTTTTTTTTACATGGTAATGTACTCTGTTAGACCTGGAAGAGTTGCAAAATCACATCTACTAGCACTAGGCAGAACACAGAGCTAGGATTCTTGGCCCAGTTCTTTGGAATGTGTTTTCATTCAGTATTAGGCATTGTATCAGACAATTTGCATTGCAGCGTAGAGTTTGGAAGCCTGTGGCCCTCTTTCTCTCCCAGTGGATTTCCTTTGCCTCACAGGCTAGTCAGGCTCCCTCTTGTTTGTCTTCTTTCTTTTTCTATGAGTTTTTATGATTTGCTGCACTGTTCTGGTTTCATTTCTGCAAAATGCAGCAATACCCAGAACATCCCCCATGTTATTAACTGCTTTTTTGGAAGACAGTGGTGTACTGTTTTTCAGGCAGATCATTTTCATAATTGAAATAAATATCTCCTTCTCAGATTAAGTATTCTCAGTATTATGTAGATAACTAAGTTTTCTAGAAATTCATCAAAAATAAAAAGTTTTTAAAAGCGTCCAATCAGCAGATGCATCTAAATATCACAGCATGTAGCTGGATCCTGCCCCATTTGTTACTTTTAATATCAAAGATGTAACTTATTTATGTCTGGAATTCCACTGGCAGATAAATTTCAACTTGATTCTACTTATTCTGCTGGAAATCTTCATGGCAACTACTGTGATCATTTCAGCTAGATCTACTGAAGACTGCTGTATGAGAAAGAAAGTAGGTACCCTAAAGTTAGAGTTGATATAGAGTTGATTGTTTTTTGATGTTTCTCTATGTAACTGTAAAAACGTGTTAGATTTTTCCTATATTATGTGTGATACCTGGACAATAAATATTGGCTTCAGGTTTTTCTTTAAGTGCTTTTCCAAATCACACTCTTGTTTCTGTGTTACTTTTTTTACCTACTACTGAAGCCATTTCATGATTTGGTGGAAGCACTGTTTGCTAGACAAAGTCCTGCTGTAAATGTCTTCCTTCAGTTACCATGTCAGCAAAATCAGAAGGATTTACATCAGATTTTCAGAAATCTTTCAGACTTTGAAAGGCTAAGGAAGAAAGTAGAAAAGAGAGATGGCTGTATTTCACTGTTGAGGGGTGGTAGTATAACAGCTCATCTGGGACTACTTTGTTTATTTTCAGTGTGACTGATGCAGGCTGACACTGTCAGGTATTGCCAAGTGTTGCTTTTGGTTCTGATGGGCCAACCAGATGTTATGTGCCACCTGTAACAGGATCTGTAACAAGTTTTACAAAATGTGAAAACAAATCTATTATTTGCATATTTTTCAGTCACAATTTTTAATTTCTTCTAGAATGCCACATACGATGGTGCCATTGCTTTGAGTAATGTCAGCTTTCCTGCCCGAATTCTGAAGTCATACTCAGTAAGTACTTGTTTTCTGTCTTTACATCAATTTATCATTATAAGTGCCAAAATCCTTTAAAGTCAGAAACAGATTGATGTAGGTAAGCACTGCAAGAATTAGAAATATGAGATGGATCCTAAAATGCTTCCTTTTAGAATATTATAAGATAAATAACTGCCATGTACAGTGGGAAAAAGATTACTTAATGACCTAAGGATAAATACTGTAAACTGAACTGTTGTTTAGTGGAGCTAATAAATGAGAGTATAAACATGCATAATAAAGCTGAACTTGCTTTCATTTAAGCCAGCTGGAGTTTTGCCATATTTTACATCTGTGGAACATTTACTTTTTGTATATCTAATAGCATAAATGCTATTTTTTTTTCTTCCCAGGGAGTTATTTTCCACAGGCAAATAGGAATTTTGTTTTTTAAATGAACTATTTATAACTTGTGTGTTCTACTTTCTTTTAGGTAATTGAAGTGATAATTGGAATTTCATCAGTATTTGGTGGCATAATTGCTTTAAATATGGATGTTCTGGTGTCAGGTCCATATCTTTCAGTAACATTCTTTTGGATCTTGGTTGCTGTAAGTAGTTCAAAATGAATGTACTCTTTTTGGAACAGTGTATTTGATTTTTCTTTTTCTTTTTCACTGTGCTGGAATGTTTATTTGATCCTAATATTAATTGGAAATTTCTGCATTGCTAATAAGTACTTCAGTATATCTAGTCTATTATGTAATGATGGTTCTACTTTGATTTTCAAGACTTTGGTCCTTAAAACATATTGTGATACATTTTCAGTCCCCAGAAACATGGAAATGAGTAATAAGGGTTTTAAAGACGTTGTAAGTGTTTTGTGAAACAATTCCTAGATTTTAGAGTATTTCAGGCTGCAAAATAAGAAGTTGTGTTAAATTTCAGTGTGATAGGTTCCTCAGGATATCACCTTTAGCTCATCAGAATTAACTGGATTAAAAGCCTGAGACTGTGTTTGGTAATGCTTGTCACTAATAACAGCCTGCACCTAGGAACAGTGCAGTCGTAAAGAATGATGTGTTAACTCTGCTTGCCAAAAGCTGAACAAGCTGAGAAGGATGACAGTGAACACTAGATTTATATATGGCTCCTATGTCTGGAAAATCCCTCTGAGGAAATGGAAAAGGATTGTAAACAAGTTCTTCAGCATGCAAAACTCACAGCGTTCTGTGGGGCTCATTAGATTTTAAGGCGGAAACGTCAAGTTTTGTGGTTAATATTTCATTATGTGGAGGTTTAATGCATGATCCTCATTTAAATGTAAGCTAAATGAAGATTAGTTTTATCTCTGTTTAATTAATTGATTCACAGTACTGTCACTAAAAATATATGCAGTTTCATGTCTTCTTTAAATTTAGGATGTGATCTATGACTAGTGGGAATCGCTGTTACACAGTTGTAAATTGTGCAATTTTCAAGTAGGTAAATCCTTATTTGTTACACTTTCTTATCTTGTACTCTATTTAGTGCTTTCCTAGTGCTATCGCAAGTCATGTGGCTGCTGAATATCCAAGTAAATGTCTGGTAAGTGTGTAAAGTCCTTGAATTTTGCCATTAGAATATATAATAATATTCATATTTGCTTGTTTGTTTGTGGTTACTTGTACAAATGTAACAGATGTATTGTGCAACAAGAATGTAAGTTGATATTTCTGAAAAGAAGTCCTGTCCATGAAATTCTAAGAACTGGTGGGTTTTTTGTTTGTTTGTTTTGTTTGTTTTATTTTTACTGGTTTCTTAGAAATGGACACTGCTTTATGGAAAAAAAATGCCTCATATCATACACAGAGAAATGCTTTCATGCTCCTGAGCTCCATTCCATTCCCTTTCCATTATGTGCTTTCTGAAGGAAGAAAATTAGGGGTGCAGTCCATATAGGACCTAGAACCTGTTATAAACAAATTTCTAATCTATATGACTAGCAAGAAAACTGAAGAATGTTCTGTAAAGCACATTTATTCCCTGAGTGTCCCAGATGTGTAGTTAAGTCTCCTTAAAACATCTGCTCTAAGTTACAGTCATTCAACCATACTTAAGTCAGTCATAATGCATGACCACAACAGAAGTCAGAATTTGATCCTTTAGGATGATATTTGAATGAAAACTAAGCTGCTATTTTATTGTAATAAATTTGCCTCAAAGCACTCAATTTGTTTCAGATTTTAAGTCTGCAATATCTGCTGTTAATTCTCAGTATTTCATACAAACTGAAAAAGAAATGATACTTCTTTACTAGCTTTCTAAATTTCGTATTGTTTCCTCTATCTGCATTTGAAAGACACTTTTATAATTAGACAAAAGACCCATCACACTTCTTAAAAGGAAAATGAATTATAAAACAGGAGTATTTAGGCTAGGAAATTTAGTCAAAGCTTGCTTCTGTATCTCCATACAGTAAATGGCTGTTAAGATTTATCTTGTATGTGTAATCTTACACTTCTGTTATGCTTTCTTAAGGGAATACAGCTCACAAACAACATTTTTACTTGTTTTTTTCCCCTTTTAATATTTATAATCTTGTTTTATTTAGGTTGAGGTCCTGATTGCCATTAGCAGTGTCACATCCCCATTGTTGTTCACTGCTTCTGGATACTTATCCTTCAGTATCATGCAAGTTGTTGACATCTTTAAAAGTTATCCACCTGCTGTTAAAGTACGTATTTTGATGCAATTGGAAAATTAACATTTACCAATTAATGTAGCAACAGAAGAATGAAGATATCTATGTCTCTATTTTCAGCAGTCTTATGATGTACTACTGTTGCTTCTGATGTTGATGCTGCTAATTCAGGCATGCCTTACTATCGGAACTGTAATACAGTGTGTAAATTACAAGACAAAAATGAAACTGCAGGATTCGTCCTGGACAGAATCACAGGTTAAAAAACAGGAGTACAGAACTACAGAGGTATGTATTTATAACCACAATGAAGTTTAAATAAGTAGCATAAATTTATAGCAAAGATGATAGGCCTTGCATGACCCTATCATGAAATCAATGAAATTAAATGTTTTCAATGCTGGCAGAAGTTTTGGACCGTGAAATGAGTTGTCAGTATAGTTGTGTCTTTTCAACAGCTGTGAATTTCCAAGGGGAATGAATTTGCTAAGCATAGTTAGTTCTAAGTTCCCTGAACTGCAAATGAGAAGTGTTAGGTACACTGAGCATAGCATCAACACTTGGAAAGTTGCATGAGTGGCTACTTGTGCTGGTCAGTTTGAAGTTGTGAACAGAGGAGAGTGTCTGGAATCCCAGGGCTCTCCATGTCCTAACTATTTTACTAAAGTCAGCAATGAAGATGAAAATTGACATCCTGTGTTTCCTTCCTGCACTTAACTGTTTGAGCCATCCTTTCAGTTACAGATATATAAATACTTTCATAGAGCATGGTGATGCTAGTATTGCTGTTATTCATGTGACTTGAGTGGTCTTCCAGAGAATAGTGAAATCCAAATCATGTCAGATATGCACGGATTGACTATATGCATCTCCTAGCACAGCACAGCACATTTAGCCCGTAGGCTTTCCTCATCTCTTCTGAACAAAGCAAAGTGCTGTATTAAAGAACAGGGAAGAGTAAGTCGTGTTAACTGGATGGTTTCTGTGTGGCTCAGCATTGAAAAGGTTGAGTGCTGGATTCAGTCCTTGCTCTAAAAGGAGCACCCACAATGAATCAGCACAGCTAGAATGTGCAGGAAGTACACAGCAACAGTACAGCTGTTACACAATTGGTAATAGAAAGTGGAAGCTGTGGATTTAAGTGCCCTTCAGGCTGCTGAAGGTGTTCAGTAGAAGTCACTGATCTTTTGGTTCTGTGACCTGAGAGCTATGTTCTGCATAAAAGATGGAACTCAGCAGCATTTCACAGAATCACTGAATTGTAGGGGTTGGAAGGGACCTCCAGAGATCATCGAGTCCAACCCCCACAGCTGTAAGTTACATTTTTGAGCTTAAGTGATGGCATGGCTAAACCATTCTCTTCAGGTATCTGCTAAATGCAAAAAGAAGCAATTTTTCTAGAAAAGCAACATATTATTTGCCTTGTAGTGTTTAAACACAGTAATAATGTGACAGATGAAGGTGTACGTCTCTGTGGCTTTTAAGCAGTCTGCTTCTTAGGCAAGATCTTAATTTACTTGCATGTGTGTAGATGAATCTTGCTTCAGTTGCTTTGTTGGGACTACTGCTAGTTACTACTTTGAGTTCAGAGATTTAGGTTGTAGAGCTTTTAAATAATTTTTTGACAAAAAAAAAATCGACGATGTCTGAAGTTATGTGTTTAAAGTAGGATTTTGACCAAATTTCATTGGCCCAAATGTTTAAGTACTACACTGTTTACATTATTATATTTGTCTGTTGTAAATATGTACTATACAGTATACAAAGCTTTACAATTTACAGTATATACTGTATTCAGACTATAGCTGTGTTTATGTTCTCCCAGATTGTCTCATGTTTACTTGCTTTAAATTCTGTTTTTAACCAAAATGTTGTTTTGTGTTTCCATTTGTTTGAAATTTGTTTACTTCTAGGTTTCCAATAATACCTTAAAGGATTTTGACAAAGACAAAGCCTGGAAAGCAGTTGTGGTGCAGATGGCTCAGTAGTTTGGATTCTGCAAATACAGCCACTACAGTACAATCCAATCCTATAAATCTACTGTTTGAACTAAGGCTTAAAAACTTTTCAGTTTATAAACAGCAACATAGTTACAGCAGTAGGAGCCAATGAATAACACAATAAATATTGCCTTTCTAATTATTTTTGAAATACGTTGATAACATTTTTAACAGATCTGTCTTTTCTGTTGGTATCTGCATCTTAGTCTTTCTTTTGAAGTTATCATTGGGGAAAAAACTAATGACTCACACACTGATAGCGAAATAAAACATGACTGTATGCAGTAGGCTTCGTGTGTTTGCAAGAGATTGTAATAACTGCAGTTATGCAGTATGTGTAACTGATAAATGCTTTTGTAAAGTTATGAATACAAATTACAATTGTTATTTCTGCTTATACTTCACTTTTGTAGGAGTTGTAAAGTTCTTTTTTGTTTCATTGCTTTTATATAAATAAAAGTCTGTTATCTGAAAGCTCAAGGATATGAATTGATATGCTACCTGTAGAGATGAAAATAGAATAATTTCTCAAATTCAGCTTCATCTTCTGACTTCTAAGGGAGGAAGGGAGATTTGCTGTCAAAAATCAAAGTAAAAGTAAAACAAACAAACAAACAACAAACACATACAGCCAAATAACCAGAGATCCCACTGATGGGAGTTTTTTCACACTTGAAAATGTATGTTTGGCATGCTATTTTTCATTTATTTCTTTTCCTTACTATCTTTAAAACTTAAGGGATGTAGTTGCTCTTTAACTATATCCTCCATTCAGATTGCCTTTACATCCTATGTGAATTAAGATTGAATAGGTTATGAACAATATAAATTTCCACATTGATAGACTTTTCAATTTACATTGGGTTAGCTGCAAAGTGGTGGGGGTTTTTTTGTCTGTTTTTTTTTTTTCTTTTTTTTTCCTGTTTGTTTTTGAAAGATAGAATGCAGAAGTTCCTTCTTTCTCGTTGAATGTGCAACCAAATCATTTATTCAGAACATGGTGGAAAGCTCTCCAATTCTGGGGAGGGGAATTGAGAAACAGGTATGTCTGGGTGAGGGTTGGAGCCCTTCAGGTATGTTAATGTGTTTTTTTGATTCTTTTTAGGAGAGCTGATATAATTTTAGAATTTTAATATCGAGAGAATACTCATTCAAGTTTATAGCAGTGCTTCTTAAGAACACACATACAGAAATCTCTCCATTCACATAAAAAAGTGGGTTGTTTTGGCCCAGGCTGATTCATCATCAACCAGAGGATGCTGCTGCTGTTTACTGGTCCTGGTGGGAACATTTTAGCAGCAAGGCAAATAAACAATACTATCATCTCTGCTACAATCTTGCAATTGAAGGGTTTGAATGCATCTCAGCTGCTGGCTTGTATGTGATACAGTGCCTTGAATAAAAAGAATCTGTGCCTAAAAGAGGTATCTTTTTTTGTGAAGGGATGTTTGGCTTTGATTATGAAGAAGGTGAGATCTAATTAGATCTTCTATTACTGAGCACTGATGGAGAAGAAATTAGTAATAAGTGACACATTCTTAAGGAATCTGCTTTCCTCAGAAGGCCCTACTTACAAGGCACTGAGCTTCTTTAGTCTCTTTTTGTGTCAAATGATTTGAGATGCTCTTCCAAATGGTAAGAATCTTTTAAACTGCTACTGATTTTGGGTGTTCTCTCAGGAATGACCTGGAACAGCCTAATTATTACAGAGTGTAATCAAGTTTGTTTACCTTTCCTTTGGGAAACTGAAGTATTTTAATGATAGGTGGAGAAAAAAGCATTCGTCTAAAATAAAGAGGAAACTAAATAGACTATGGATACTAGTCTGCAAGTTGACATCTTAAGCAAGAAAGAAAATTGTGGAAGTAGGAGGAAGGCTTTTACACCATAACCAGTATAGGGCTGGCAGTTGATATGAAAAGGCTTTTTCAGGCTTCCCTATAAATCTCACTCTGTGGTCAAATGCATTTGTATCTCAAAGCAACAGCCCCTGCGGGCCCCTGCTACCCCCAGACAAGTGACCTGCATGTTGGAGTATGCCACAGTAAATCTCTTGATTGCTTGTAGCGTTCACTGGGGCGTGCTGATAGATGATGTGACTTGAAAATAAGGAGAAGGCCCTGCTATAACCTAAGGGTTGGTTCTTCCCAGGGAAATAAGGTGTCTTCTGGACGTGTTCCAGACATGAAACGATACACCACAGTTAAAAGCTACCTGCAGTTTTTAAGATTGCCAAAGCAAGGATTGGAGAAAGATTTCCAGAGTGTTTGAGAGGTTTGGTATTTGCCCTAAACAACTCATAGGTGCAGACTTATGCTTCTTTGGCACATTTAAGCCTGGTCGGAAACCCATAGACATAAATCCAAGGGACAAAAGTCATCGCCCCCTCTAGCGGCAGCTTGGTGACACAACAGCGTGCCGTGCTGCAGGGGTCCTGCTGGGAGTCTGATGGAACTGGAACTCAGCGGAATGACTATTGCGTACAGCCGCTTGTCTTACCAGGGATTAAGGTCCTAGTTTATAAGTAAATAAACAAAAAATAGTCTTAGCTAAAATAAATAAATATGGCTGAGACACTTAGCTTTTTAGATCTTTCCTATCATTCATATCCAGCAGCAGAGAGGGGAGATTGGCATGAGATGCCTAAGCTGATGTAACCCAGCGCTGAAATGGGTTGCCTCCTCTGGCCTTCTTCCCCATGCTACCAGTGACTGGTATCTGACTATACTCACAGAAATTTATCAATTAAAGGAAAAAAAAAAACCAAAACACTTTTCTGCTGTTTTAGTCAGCCAGCTTAAGACACTGAAAAACTCAATGGCCCTCTTTAAAACTTGGGATATGACTTCAGTGGAAGTAGATCACCAGAATATTTGTTTTTAGTGCCTCTTTTCTCTCTCCTCATCACATTCCTTACCTATGGTTTGCACAGTCATGTGCACCATCTCGTTTCCATCCCCTTTTCCAAAACTTAGACTTGTACGTGATCCATACCAGGAACTGCAACTTATGACTGACCATACAATTTGTGTTGGTAGATCACTATCAATGGAGTTAAATGTATTCTCCAAATAAGAAAATGGCATGTCTTGTGATCTCTGTTTTGTGTTTCTGAAGAGTATCCATCAGATCAAAATAATAAGATCTAAATTAGTTTCAGAAACTGGATTAGTCAGGCTTCTTTGGCGACTGATTTGGTTTTATAATATTTTCCTGTTTTTTCAGATGCTAGAAGTACTAACATTTGTATGTTACTGAGTGGGAAGTCCCCCAGGGAGAAGCTGACAACCTGAAGATTATGCAAGTGTCATTTCTTTTATGTATGTATGAATGATTGTATCTTAGGTATGCATCTCCAAAAGATGAGATTTGGATTATTTTTTTTCCTAAGTTTGTATTACCTGTCTAATGCTGAGGTGCTTCACTATAAACTTTTTCTGCCTCTGGGAAAGCATCCAAGGAGTGAAGTAACAAAGCTGGAGCTGGGCATGATGATGAATCAGATTTGTGCAGAAGGAGAACCATGCTAGCTTTAAGTGATGAAGACGAAAACAATTTGTATTGGCCAATTAATTTCAAATGCGTATTTTGTTAATATCAAATTAGGAACATCAAATATGATTTAAAAAATATGTTTTTCATACATTTTTTTACAAGACAGGAGAGGTCTCCCAGTATAAAATATCCTGGTGGAATGGTGGAGCTTTCCTCAGAGTATATTTTGAACTTTTTAGAAATGAATTTACCTTTCCAGGTCAGTGTTCATTCTTTCAAAAATTGCACCTCTTCAGTGAACAAGTTATAATTTTTCCTTTCCATCCTGTGAAGATCAACTATTACAGGAAGAGAAAATATGAAACCAATACTTTATTTTTTGAAATGTGAATGATTTTCCCCCAAACTCACTCATTTTTAAAGTCTGATACAACTCCTAATCTGAGAACTCCATATTACATGCATGTTAGCAAGCGGCCATTTCTTCAGAGGGCAGACTCATAGGTTTAAACTGGTTCTGCACTTTTCTGTTCTACTTCTTATGTTCTGTGGAGACAGATCACAGATATCCAGTGTTTTTTGGGATTCTCTTATCAGGAACCACCCAGAAATGGTTGCCCAGCACTGGTTGCTTTCAGAAGCCCCATGCGAGAGGAGATGCTGATGGCACACTAACTACCTCTGTACTGTTCTCTTTGTGTCTGTAATAGAATGTAGGCTGGCTTGCCCACTGCCCCCTAAGGACAGTGCAGGGATTATTATTGATCTTGAGTCTCACCATTTACCCAATAACCAGGATTAATATCAACTGCTCTGGTATTTGTTTTTCTAGACAAAAACCTTGATTCACTGGGGCTCAGTTCTGGGGATATGTACTGTTTGCCAGTAGTCCTGGTTTGAATTATTCACGTCCTTCTGATGCTGTTTTACCCAGTTCCACTGAAGTCTATGGAAAGAGCTTCATTTAATTCAATATGGTTCATCTTTCAGTCTCTGTATTTATTTTTTATGTTCTTTCCAACATCTGATTTATATAAAAAGCTACATAAAATCAGAATTTTATTCATGTTGTATAAACCCTGAAGTTCAAGATTGAAATGGAAATGAAAAACGATAGCATAAAAACATAAACCTACTCTGAACTGCCTGCTTTTGTGGAGTAGGTTCCAGAAAGACACTTCTGATGCTTCAATCTGGCCTGCCTAAGAAACCCCAAATCCCTCAAATCACACAACAATTTTGTTACAAAGTTCTAAAATTGCATTGGAGTCATTTCATAGTTTGCATTGTGGTCCCACAGCCCTCAGTTCAACTGAGGGATTGAGATGTTACTGATGGCACCTTCGGACAGAGTTGTTGCTGCTTGTGTTTTCGAACCATAACATCCGGTATGACAATTTCTTTAATGATCTTCCTGTTGTAGAAGTTATGTTTTCAGTTGTACAGTCATACTGGGCCAAACTCTGGGAATCAGACATGTGACATAGAGCAGG